AAAAAAAAAAAAAAAAAAAAGAGAGAGAGACAGGCATGGTCTCTGCTAAGAGACTGACTTAGGCAGGAGTGCCAAGAAGGCTGGGGTGCTGGCACCCCACAGCCCAGTCTGCCATGTGCCCACCAAGGGTCTGCCCCTTCCCAGGAGGTATTACCCACCTAGGCTCCAGGAATGCAGGTGTGGAGGGGGTGGCATTTGTGAACTCAGCCTCAGGGAGTGTAGAGTGTTCTGCCTTGGGGGAGTGTGGTATGGCTGTGCAGGGGCAGCTGCCCCAGAGACAGCAGGAGGGGGAGCTTCGTGGTAGGGCCTGTGGCTCTGGGCACTTTATTGTCTATAGTGCTGGGGGTCAGTCTCCTGGGAGAGTGGACGCTTCGTCTATGCCTTACACTGCCTCCACCCTGCCCACTCTTGCATTTCCCCCAGACCCTCCCATCTTTATCCCTCTTCCCTGTGGGTCCCGGTTTTGCTGAGGGTGCTCGGGCTCTGGCACGGTTGTCACACCTCAGGGAGTGGATCTGTAAGCACTGCCTCCTGGCTGACAGGGTGACCCAGGGCAGGTGAGAGGGAGGAGAGTCTTGGGGCACTGCACAGGCTCACTGGAGGGGCCGCAAGGAGGATGGGGGCAGGTGCAGAGCAGGGAGTGGGTGTTGTATCTCTGTAGCTATTTCTGAGTCCCGTCCTTCTCCCTGTAGCCCAGGATAGATAGGAACCTGCCCCAGGGTTACCTCTCCTGCAGCTGGCCTGGGAAGTACAGGCAGGAGGTCCCAGGCATGCTTCCACCTGAGGGAGGCAAGGAGCCTGGCAGGGCCTGCTTATGGCCTGGGGCTTCAGAGCACCCTTTGGCCATGCAGTGTTAGAGGGGCTGCATGTGCAGGATCAGCCTCAGCCACCCAGGGAGTTGCCCTCCTCAGCTTGCCCCTCAGTGTCCTTGACCTGGCCCCCAATTCCTCTGCTGGCACACCTCTGGGGGTAGGGGCCTCTTGCATTCCCAGGTACATTAGCCAGCATCATGTGTCTGTCCCCCAACCCCCAGGCCTGAGCTTCCGCCTTGGTCTTGCCAGGGTAGGGACATTGCATGTCCCTGAGGGTTGACAGAGAAGGTTCAGGAGGTTGGGGGGGTGTCTGATAGTCAGAGTTCCCTTGCTTTGGGACTGGTGCGCAGCCACCTGCATCCCCTAGCGCCTTGGGGTATGAGTTGGAATTGCCATGGGGCAGCTCTGAGTGTATGCTGGATATGGGTTGTAAGTGTGGGTAAGTGTGGGTAAGAGGTCGGGTCTAGGGAGGAGCTTCCTTTTGCTGCTATCTGCCCATTTGAGGGGTCTCGCTCCCATGTGTGAAGGCCTTGCTCTTAGGCTGGCAAGGCTGTCTCTCACTAGGTGTTAGGGCATTATGGCGGTGGCGGGGTGGAGGTGGGGTGGGCGCTGTGGGAGGAAGTGAGTTGCTTGCTGGCTGTCAGGGAAGGCATGGTGGGCTTCTGCCAGTGTCTTTCTTCATTTCATAGGGACAGAGAGGGACGATGTGGGTGGTGCTCCTGGCAGAGGTCTGCATATGGGCCATGCTGAGCAGGAGCTGGCTGTGCCCTACATGTTCCCCGTGTTGGAGGGGGAATCACCCCCCAGCAGGCCAGGCTGGGGAGGGAGCAGGATGCCTTGGAGCCTCTCAGCCTGGCAGGACCAGCCTGTAATCTGTCGTTGTCTCGATTCTGGAGTCAGGAGCTGGGTGGTCTCTGGGTCTGGGGATCATGGCTGGCTTGCACTTCTGGCTCAACCCTTTCCACTGGGTGGGGACAGCAAACTGAGCCTCATTAACCGCACACCAGGGACCTTTACCCAGTCATGACAGAGACCTCCATGACCACAACAGACACCTACTCCAGAGCCCACGTGGGCTACAGGCGCTCTTGACGCTGGCCATTGGCTAGCTAAGCTCTGGTGCAGCTCTGGGGCCCCCAGGCCTGGCCACGTCTGCTCTGCTTATAGCCAGAGAGCCCAGCAATGTGTTGAGGGCACCTTGAGTCTCAGGTGGTGCTTCCTCCCACCTGTTACACCTCTTGTTTGTCTTATAGGAAATGGCCAATTCTGTTTACCTGGTTATGGAGGTGAGTTCCATGGAGGGCCTGCTGGAAGGACCAGTCTGGACACACCTGGAGTAGGGTAGCCCCTGGTTGCCTGGGGCCAGGGTGGGTTGGTGGGTAGCCATGCTGCCTCTGTTTCCTTGGGCTAATGGCCATAGCTGGACTTGGGAAGACTTGGTGGGTCATGGCTGGAGTTTTAGGGGGCATGGCTGGGAATACATGCCTGGGGTGCTCAAGCACCCAGGAACAGCATCAGGTGTGGGAGTAGGAAGACAGATGGGGCTAGGCAGTTGTCTCCAGGCCCTAGCCATGACTGACTTATGTCTTTGGTCTTCTTCAGTATTGCAACGGTGGGGACTTGGCTGATTACCTGCACAGTGAGTAGACATGGTCATCCTGGCTCAGCTCAGACATAGTCTGGCCTGAGGTGCCCCTCTGTTCAGGCTGCTGGGCCTTCTCCAGTAGCACCTTCTGGGATGGGTGTAAGGGGTAGGCTTAGGTCACTGTCCATCCAGCTGTCTCCCACATGCTCAGGAGATGACTATGACCAAATAGCTAGGTCTCTGAATGTGGGGAGGGCACAGAGACGGACCAGTGCTTGTGTGGTGGGTCTTGCAGTGGGCATTGCATGTCATAGCTGGAAGGGTAGCATCTGGCCTTAGCTTAGTGGAGCTGGGTCTACGAGGCATCAGGTGTTTGTGCAGGGGGCCTGGCAGGGGTTGTCACTGAGGAGGACACAGCTGGGGTGGGGACAACTGCAGTGTTGATGCGGCCCTGTCAGGTGGGTCTGAGCTACAGGTGCTTGCTGGGTATGGAGGTGAGAAGTACATTTGGACATCCTTCCAAGTGCAGCGTCTTAGTGGTCTGGAGGTGGTAGGCAGACAGGTGATTCAAGGAAGGATGGAGTGGCTATCTGTCCCTGTCTGTTGGGGCAGCTACAGTGAAGTGCCCTAGGCTGGGTAACTTACGAACAGATTTATTGCTCACAGCTCCAGGGCTGGGACATCTGGGGTGAAGGTGCTGGAAGACTGCAGACAGACTCCTGCAGGCCTCATCCATGAAGGCTCTGAGCTCACTGATCTGATCACCCCTCAGTGCCCCATCACCTAATACTGTCACTGGGGGTGAGGATTTCAGCACACAAATTTTGAGGGACACATTCAGACCATAGGACCATTCTTGAGGTTGGGGAGTTCAGAGCTTCATATTAGCCAGATGGCAGGCCTATGTCCAGAGCCAGGGGAGATGAGAAAGGCCAGGGAACAGAACTGGAGGAGAGGAGCCAGCAGGGCATGTTGTGGGTGGGGGCTGTAGGGCTCCTATTCTGGCATCTTTGCCTTCTGTGTTGGGGACTCTGGCTGGGGACAGGCTGGCTGGCTGAGCCATCAGGGCAGACTTAAGCTGTAAGGGTCCTTCATGATATGGGCTGGGTAGTGCCCTCTGACGGCTGGCCAAAGCCAAAGGGTGCTGGCCCTGGGTACTCTGAGCTGGCAACTGCCCTGGCTCGCCACGTGGCCCGGGCATGCTGAGCCTTGCCACCCAGTGTTTACTCTTAATCTTGTGGCTGCCATGCTGCCTGCTGGGACAGTGACCTTCAGTGGCTAGGCAGTCCCTGGCTGGTTTTCAGGTTCCACAGGTGTTAGGTGGGAACCAGGCTTACTTTCAGTACCGTTGCCCTATGAAGGCAGGGAGGGAGGTTGGGGAGGTACAGGGGCTCATCTGGAGGGCTGGTCTATCTTAGGGCTAGTTGTAAGGCTGTCAGGGGTGCTTATATGTCCTGTGTGTGTATGTCCACATGAATCTGTATGGCTGTCTGAACATGTGTGTGCAAATGAATGTAAGCCTCTAGGTCTCTGAAGAGAGACCTAGCCCTGAAGTGGGGAAGGGCAGGGGGTGCTCTGTCCACCTGCCATTGTACTTTTGAGCTCTGGACAAAGAGGCCTGGGTTGGGCCAGGACTGAGTGGGTGGTGAGCAGGATTGCAACAGGGGACTGACAGCAGCTCTCCAAGTTGCAAGGTGGTCTGCCTGCTGCCTGATGAGCAGGCTGTGGCCAGTCTGGCCTTTACTTCCCATCATGTCTGCCCATGGAGTGGGGTGTCTGGGTACCCTCTTAGCCACATCTCCCTGCAGCCATGCGGACGCTGAGTGAGGACACCATCAGGCTCTTCCTGCAGCAGATTGCTGGTGCCATGCGGCTTCTACACAGCAAGGGCATCATCCACCGTGACCTGAAGCCCCAGAACATCCTGCTGTCCAACCCTGGTGGGCGCCGGGCCAACCCCAATAACATCCGTGTCAAGATCGGTGAGGCCCATTGGGGTCATGCCTCCCCGGGCAGTTCCCAAGGTGGATGACCCCAGCTACGGCTGTCCTGACTTGTGTCTTTCTTGCAGCTGACTTTGGGTTTGCCCGGTATCTCCAGAGCAACATGATGGCAGCCACGCTCTGCGGCTCCCCCATGTACATGGTGCGTATGGCCCCTACCCTACTGGGTCCCCAGGGCAGCAGGCCAGGCCCCAATGACTAATGCCTGGCAGGCACGTGCTCTGGATGGTGCCTGGCTGGCACCTGTTTGTGGCCAGTGAGCTCTGGTGCCTGTCCTGGTCCTGACCCGTGTTTCTGGTGCTGCAGGCTCCTGAGGTCATCATGTCCCAACACTATGATGGGAAGGCAGACCTGTGGAGCATCGGTACTATTGTCTACCAGTGCCTGACAGGGAAGGCACCCTTCCAGGTGAGGGGTACCAGCAGTCCAGAGGGCAAGGGATTAGGGTGGCCCTCGCATTCTGCACTGCAGCTCTGGCTGACAGCCCCTGCCCTGCCTGCCCATTGTTCACTGAAATCCCATGGGTCTTCCTTGGTGGTTCATGTCACTCTCCTGCTCAGAGCTGAGGCCACATCTCTTGGTGGCCAGTTCAGTGTACCCAGTGTCTCACCAGCTTGTGCTGTGTACATGTGCATGCATAGGTCTCCTCTTTGTCTTCCCTTGCTGCCAGTGCTGGCTGTGACCCACTAAATGGTGTTGTGATCTCTAGCATGAGGGCAATTTATGTGGGAGCTGTGCCAAAGGCTGCATATGGACAGCAGGGTGTGCCTCCTGTGCCAACCCTGCACTGGCTGAGCCACCAGTAACCCCTGCCCTGTTCTGTCTTGGGGAGAGCTGACCACCCCAGGGGACATTAGCCCTGTGAAGTCCCCTGCTGCATCCCAGTGCCTGGATGGTGTCAAGCATGGCAGGTGCTCAGGGAGTGCATGGGTGGCTGAGTTGAGTGTGTGTGTTAGAAATCAGATCCACCAGGCAGGGCCAGTGCTTGTGGGGCCAGGGAATGGATGGCTCTTAATTTCAAACAGCCAATAGCCAACGGTACCACAACCCTGGATTGTACCCCATGCCTCAGCTCTTGGAGGGGAGGGTCAGCTGTCCCTCTTGCAGCCCATGGGGCCTATCAGGCCCAAGAACACCCCACAGGCCGCACTCTGGTTGGGGGCCAGAGGTGGGGTTTGGACACAGGCATGTGGTCTGGCCCTGCCTCCCCAAGGACTGGGCCATTGACCCTGTCCTCACCTGCCAGGCCAGCAGCCCTCAGGACCTCCGCCTGTTCTATGAGAAGAACAAGACACTGATCCCCACGTAAGCACCTCTCCTATACTCCCCCTTACCCCCTGGGGCTTTCTCAGTGGGTTCCATGGTCAGCCTTGTGTTCTCTTGGCTTCATGCAGTATCCCACGGGAGACATCGGCCCCCCTAAGGCAGCTGCTGCTGGCTCTGCTCCAGCGCAACCACAAAGACCGCATGGACTTCGGTGAGCATCCTCCTGGGCAGGTTTGAGGGGAATACATTCTCAGGTGTACCCTCCTCATCCACTCATGCAGCCTTCACTAATTCCATGGAGAGCTGTCTCCCGTGCCCCATACCACACTGGGACACTGGTCCCTCTGAAAGCCCAGCATGGACAGCAGGCACAGTCTCCAGCCACTGTCACCTGGCAGACCTGAGTCTGGGCACCCAGATTCCTGGGGCTGCCTCTGGCCTATGGGATGGCAGTGAGACCCCTAGGGCCCCTGGCTTCTCATCTATCCAGAGGCTACCAGGCCCTGGTTTTGCAGTGAGATGTGCTGCTGGGAAGACCAACTTGGGGCAGGTGGGTGACGGTAGCCTGGGTTGACATGGCTGGCCAGATATGTTAAGAAGCTGCCTGGGGGCTCTGTCTCTGCGCCCAGCCTGGTGTCACAGCCAGCTACCTGCAGATGTGGTCCTCCTGAGACCTTACCCCTCTTCCTGCAGATGAGTTTTTCCATCACCCTTTCCTCGAGGCCAGCCCATCAGTCAAGAAGTGTGAGTGTCTGTGGGTTCCCTAGGCCCCTGGCAGGGCCTGAGCACCCTCCCCACAGGTCTGGCCTGGCCCCTTATGCTGGTCTAGGGATTGGGTGTAGCCTGCTGCAGCCTCTCTGGGAAGGAGGGGGCCGCAGCCTCCACCCAGGAGGCTTGGGAAGGGTGGAACTGCTGAGGGTCTACATAGGTCACAGCCAGGGGATAAGCTGGGGGATGGTCCTTTGGGACAGCTGTGGGTGGAGGGTGTAGTTCACCTTGTCCTGTCCCTGGGATGGTTCTGGGAGCAGTGTCCTCAGTGTGGGGGTGGCAGGATACTACAGGCTGACCCACACTTCTCCCCCAGCCCCACCTGTACCTGTGCCCTCCTACCCGAGCTCGGGGTCTGGCAGCAGTTCCAGCAGCAGCTCCACCTCCCACCTGGCCTCCCCACCGGTGAGTCTCAGTCCCAGCCTTGGCCCCACTTGGGCACCGCCCTGATTTCTCTTTCTACGTGAGCCCTGAGAAACAGATGAATGAACATGTTCTCTGTGGAATGTTGAAGCATTAGAAATAGATGAAAGCCTCTCTGGCACTGACTGGTCCTTCTCCACATCCAGAGGCTGATGGCAAGGTGTGGTCTACAGGGTTGTGCGCACTGTGTTGGCTGTTTGGGGCAAAGTCGTGGGACCTGGCAGGTGTACCTCTTCCCCTCCTATCTCCCATCAGACTCATGGTGCAGGCTGGGGGGTTATGGTGGTGCTTAGTGACCAGGGCTTAAGCCCTGTTTGTCCATCTGTCTTGTCTTAGCACTCCTACAATGCTGTGTTTGGGCATTGAGGCATCAGCATCCAGGTCCTCCTGGGATGACTGTTCTGGTGACGTGGGGCAAGTTGACCCCTGCACAGCTACCCTGGAACCCCTCCTGAGTATGGTGCGTTCTTGGGCTGTGCTTAGGTGCGTTCTTGGGCTGTGCTTAGGAGTTGGCCACAACCAGGCCAGTGTACGTTGGGCCTTAGCACAGTGCTGTGCTCCATGGAGCAGAACCCCTTGTGGTGGCTTCTGCACCAGACATCCCCCATAGCACCTGTTCACACAGCTATAGTGATGGAGAAATGAATGATAGAGGGACAGATGGTGGACACGTCCAAGTACAGGGCCTCCACGTAAGCTTTGGGTCAGATGGCTTCCTTCAGGGGTAAGGGGTGCTCCACACAGGCGACTGTTCCCAGTGGGATCAAAGCCAGCCTTCAGTGTGGGTTTTGGAAGTTTAAGGAGAAGAGGAAAGAGCAGCCCATGGGAAGGAGAACACACAGAATCCCTTCCTCAGCCCACAGTGTTCTCTGGTCCTAACTGAGAACCTGGGCTGACCTGGAAGAATGAGCTTTCCTCTCCAGGGTGTCAGGGGTCCTTGAGACCTGGCTGACCAGCCCTTCCTCTGACCCCCAGTCCTTGGGGGAGATGCAGCAGCTGCAGAAGACCCTGACCTCCCCCGCTGATGCCACTGGCTTCCTGCATGGCTCCCGGGACTCAGGTGGCAGCAAGGACTCCTCCTGCGACACGGATGACTTTGTCATTGTCCCAGCCCACTTTCCAGGTCAGGGGCCTGCTGGGCAGGGGGTGGGTAGGTGTGTGTGGTCCAGACCTGTTTCATTCTATGGGCATTCAGGAAAGGCTTCTGGGAATTTCTGGCACAGCTCAGCTTGGCCAGGAAGGCCATCTCTGTTCAAACCACTCATAGAGGCAAAGGCAAGACCTTCCAGCGGTCAGTGGGTAGTCATTGACCCTGGGCCTTGGTCCTGGCAGGCAAGGGCTGCTCCTGCCACCCCTTGGGCCAGGCCTGCACCCTGCAAATGTGTCATTCCCATGCTGGTTGGAATGCAGGTACTGAGGCTTGTGGGGGAAGGCCTGGGGTCCTCTGCACCTTTCAGAGCCCCTCATTCTGGCAGTTCCTCTCTTTGTCCTTGGCTAACCTGAGAATTCAGGGACCAGGGATGAGTTGGCACTGGCCATGGGGTCCACTAGGAATGAGTGGTGTGCACTGAGCTCTGGACATCTGCTGTCAACCCAGCTCCTGGTGCCCTTCACTGTCTTTAGGATAGTAGGAAGATAGGGGCAGAGCCCTCTCAGGCAGGAGCCTGGTGTTCTGGAAGGGTTTGGGCCTAGACTGGGGGCTGTGGACACCTAGCCTCATCCTCCTGCCTAGAGTTGGCTGAGGGCTGGGGACCAGGGACCCAGGGTCTTTTAAGTGCAGTGACACAGAGGGAGCACAGTGGGAGTGGGGGGCAGTAGGGAGTGCAGTGCTCTAGCTGCCCAGGGGCAACCGGAGCCAGTGTAGGCTGCTCCCTGCACAGGGTGGGGCTGCTGTGTGATCTTGCATCCCACTGTGGGGAGAAAGTCAGGGGTGGGGTGGGATGGGGGAGGGCCAAAGTGGTCACAGAGAACTTGTAGTCCAGGCTTGTCATCTCCTACCTGCAGCTGACTTGGTGGCCGAGGTGGCTGGTGCCAAGCCCCCGCCGGACAGTCTGATGTGCAGCGGGTGAGTACCTCCCTGAGCCCTCTGTTCTGGGGAAAGAAGCGGCATCCTGGGAAGTAGCCAGTGTTACCTCTGCCTGGCTCTCCCCATTCCTGGGGTCAGGTAGTTGGGGAAGAGCTGATAACTGCGGTGCCCTCTGTGGGCCATGCACCACTAGAGGCTTGACAGCCCCTCTGCCTGGCCTTCTGCCCCTCTAGGAGCTCACTGGTGGCCTCTGCTGGCCTGGAGAGCCACGGCCGGACCCCATCTCCATCCCCACCCTGCAGCAGCTCTCCCAGCCCTTCAGGGTAAGAGGAGCCCTGGCAAGGGGCGCTGTGAGCCAGCCCAGAGTAGAGGCTGGACATCCTATCATTGCCATGGCCTCCTGGCCTTTGATGCCCATAGGCCCTGCCTTCTTGAGGCCTGTAGGTCTCTAGGCCCTACTTGGAGGGTCCAATGGGGATCATAGTGGAAGGGCAGGTGGGTAGGAGAGGGAACCAACCCAGGACTCCAGGTCAGCAGCACCATTGTCACCTTAAGCCTGCTGGGTAGCACTGGTTCAGCTTGTGCTGCAGGTATCTCCCACTGGCTAGCTGGGCACAGACTGGGGATCCAGGGTAGGGTGTGAACAGGCTGCAGCCCAAATGGCCACAGTGCAAAGGTGGGAAAGTTGCCTTTTCCGGAGTTTGCAGGTGGCCCGGTGTGGCCTGAACCTGGGTTTAGACCTGGGTTTTATCTGTGCTTGGTCCTTATGACCTCGACTCCTTTCCCACCACAGCCGGGCTGGTCCATTCTCCAGCAGCAGGTATGGTGCCTCTGTGCCCATTCCAGTGCCTACTCAGGTGCAGAACTACCAGCGCATTGAACAGAACCTGCAGTCACCCACCCAGTACCAGACACCCCGGTGAGTTCAGTGTCCCAGGGAGTCAGTTGTGTCCCACCCAGGTCATATGGCAAGAGCCATATTGCAGCCCCCCTGGAGAAAGCAGGGGCATCGTGCATGCGCACTAGTGCAGACTGTGCACTGACTCAGCAATACCATTTCCTTTGTCAGCATAGTGGGATTCTGCTTATTTTGACATCTTTCTGATATATGCCAGTAAAGTGTCTTGAGTTTACAAAGCCTATATTTCGGCACATATCAACAGACAAAAGCATAATGGAATGCAGAACCCCTTTTCTGTAGTTTGTGGAAGGCTGTGTGGGTTGGTGGTTGTCCTTAGAGGGCCTGTACCCTCAGGGTGAGGGTGCCTTGGGAAGTGCTGGGATGCTCCACCCTCTTGGTTGTCACCTCAGCAGCATGGCAAAGGTTTGGCCCCTCCCCTGTGGCCTTTGGCAAGGCTGTAGTTAGGGCAGAGAGAGCACAATGATGAGGAGTTTCTGGCATCATGCTGGCCACGTGAGGCACGTTCTCACATGCACCTTGTCTGCAGGTCCTCTGCCATCCGTAGGTCCGGCAGCACCAGCCCCCTGGGCTTTATGCGAGCCAGCCCGTCGCCTCCAGCCCCCACAGAGCATGGAGCTGTCCTGGCAAGGAAATTGTCCTTGGGCGGGGGCCGGCCCTACACACCATCTCCACAAGGTAAGCTATGGGCAGGAACTGGCAGGAGGGGTGAGGTGACTGATGCATAGCCTTTCTGTCACAGCCTGACCTTGGCCTCTCTTCCCCAAGTTGGGACCATCCCTGAGCGGCCAGGTTGGAACAGGGCGCCCTCCCCACAAGGAGCCGAGATGCGGCCTGGCAGGTCCCCTCGTCCAGGTGGGTGCTGCCTGGGGATGGGGGGTTGGGCTCACTTGCACCATGCTCTGCCTGTCTCCTAGCCCTTGTTTCTTACAAGCAGAAGGGCAAAGGGGCCTTAACAACCCCAAACCTTGCAGGCCCTGACTCATGCCATGTATTTCTTTGAGGCAGAGAGTAGATGTGCTCTCCAAGGGTGGCCGGGAGGTCAGAGGATGAATTGATTGAGGGATTTAGCTTGTGTTGCTGTAAGAGGTCTCTATGCAGTGGTCATGGCAGTGGTGGTGCTGTCCTGTCCAGTGGGCTGCTGGGTGGTGACAGGCCCCATGTCCACAGGCTCCTCTGTGCCTGAGCACTCTCCCCGCTCCTCTGGACTCGGCAGCCGCCTGCATAGCGCCCCCAACCTGTCCGACCTGCACGTTGTCCGCCCCAAGCTGCCCAAGCCCCCCACAGACCCTCTGGGCGCTATGCTCAGCACCCCACAGGCCAGCCCTCCCCAGCCACCCCATGGGCTGCCATCCTGCCGGACCCTGCGCGGCTCTCCCAAGCTGCCAGACTTCCTGCAGAGGAACCCCCTGCCCCCCATCCTGGGCTCCCCGACCAAGGTAATGGATACCCTCAGTGCCAGGGTAGGGATGGGGTGGGCATGGCCATCCTGGGGGGTGGCTCTGCTGCAGGAGGTTCCTTTCTCCCTGGCCACAGCTCTATGTCTCTGCTGGGTCCTTTAGCTGCTGCCCTTTTTCCCAGCTGTCATGTGTGCTGAAAGAGGCTGCAGGTGAGAGTGATCCTCAGCTTCATTTCCCCACCCCCAGGCTGTGCCCGCGGTTGACTTCCCCAAGACACCTAGCTCCCAGAATCTGCTGACCCTCCTGGCTCGGCAGGGTGTGGTGGTGACACCCCCAAGGAACCGGACTCTGCCTGACCTCTCAGAGATGGGGCCTTTCCAGGGACAGCAGCTGGGCCCGGGCCTGCGGCCTAGTGAGGATACCAAAGGCCCATTTGGCCGGTAAGTGGGGGTGGGGGCATGGACATGGATTCTTGATGGTGTGCTCTCAGTGTTGTCCTGCTGTAAGCTTGAGGGTTGGAGCCTGGGTCCCCCTGTGGCTAGCCTGGTCACTCCCTTTTAAACCTCTGCATCTGGCTATGAGGTGGGTGGCAGTGGTGCCTTCCTCATGAGGGAGATAAGATGATGTATGTGCCTGGCCTGGAGTAGGTGCCAGTGAGGTTGGGCCAGGATAGGCTGGGTTGGGCCCTGGAGGTACAGCCCCTGCCTTGCATATGCAGCAAGTGCTGAGAACCCTAGGTCATAGCCCCTTCCTGCAGGTCCTTTAGCACCAGCCGCCTCACCGACTTACTCCTGAAGGCTGCATTTGGGACACAGGCCCCAGACTCCGGCAGCACTGACAGCCTTCAGGAGAAGCCCATGGAGATAGGTGTGTGTAGTAGGAGGAGCTTAGGGGGAGGGTAATAGGTGGTGGCCCCTGGGGACAGTCCTGATCTGGTTGTTGTTCTCCCAGCGCCCTCTGCTGGCTTTGGAGGGAGCCTGCACCCGGGAGCCCGTGCAGGGGGCGCCAGCAGCCCCTCTCCCGTGGTCTTCACGGTGGGCTCCCCCCCAAGTGGGACCACACCGCCCCAGGGCCCCCGCACCAGAATGTTCTCAGGTGAGAGCTGATTTGGGCTAAGGCTGTGTCCCTTTTGGGTGTGAGAGCATTTGGGCTGAGGGGAATTCCTTTAACTTAGAGGTCACTACACTGTGGCCCCAGGGCCTGAGGCAGGCTGAGGAAGCTGCTTATATCTTGAAAAATCTGGCTCGGCGCCTATAGCTCAACCGGCTAAGGCGCCAGCCACGTACACCTAAGGTGGCGGGTTCGAATCCCCAGCCCGGACCCGCCAAACAACAATGACGGCTGCAACCAAAAAATAGCCGGGCGTTGTGGCGGGCGCCTGTGGTCCCAGCTACTTGGGAGGCGGAGGCAGGAGACTCGCTTGAGCCCAGGAGTTGGAGGTTGCTGTGAGCTGTAATGCCATGGCACTCTGCCCAGGGGGACAGCTTGAGGCTCTGTCTCAAAAAAAAAAAAAAAAAAAAAAGAAAAATCTACAGATAGAGACCTTGGCCTGATGGGAGGACTGGGGTATCCTGGTGGGCATCCTGTGGTCCAGTGCCTGTTATGTCTTCTGCTGTGGCTTCAGGGCCCAGCAGCATGTAACCCAAGGCCCATCTGGCACTGGGGTGGAGGAGTTCTGGTATGCCACTTACCAACCGTCTGCCCACAGTGGGCTCTTCGAGTTCCTCCTCTGCTCGCCACCTGGTGCCTGGGGCCTGCAGCGAGGCCACTCCTGAGCTCCCTAGCCACTGCTGCACTTTTGCTGACCCCATCGCCGCCAACCTGGAAGGGGCTGTAACCTTTGAGGCCCCTGACCTCCCTGAAGAGACCCTCATGGAGGTGAGATGGGGCTGGGGAAGGCTTCATTCCTGCTGAAGTGGGTGCCAACACCTTGCTGCCAGGATTGCATGTGGGAGTCCCAGCCCCTTTCCCCAGCTCATCCCTGGGGCCCCTCCTAGCTGACAGCCAAGCCCCTGACCCTGGTTCTCCCCAGCAAGAGCACACGGAGACCCTGCACAGCCTGCGCTGCACGCTCCTGTTCGCACAGCATGTCCTGGAGATCGCAGCCCTGAAGGGCAGTGCTGGCGAGGCAGCTGGAGACCCTGACTACCAGCTTCAGGAGAGCGTGGTGGCCGACCAGATCAGCCTACTGAGCCGCGAATGGGGGTGCGTGCTGGCCAGGGCGGATGGTGGTATCCTGGGGGCTAGGTCCTGTGCTTCTGACAGACCTGCCTCCCTACAGCTTTGCAGAGCAGCTTGTGCTGTATCTGAAGGTGGCCGAGTTGCTGTCCTCAGGCCTACAGACTGCCATTGACCAGATTCGAGCTGGCAAGCTCTGCCTGTCATCCACTGTGAAGCAGGGTGAGGCCCCAGGGTGCCCAGGGTGTAGGCCCAGCCATGCCAAAGCCGGAGGTGGTGTTGGGGAGAGTGGTGGGCGTCAATGAGGCCCCCACTGGTCCCTAGGGCAAGGCCCAGCTGTAGAGTGGGGTGTCAGACACAGCTGGCCAAATGGCCAGCCCAGCCTCACACTGAGAGATAGGGAGGGCCCTGGACATGATGAGGAAGGAACATGCTCTACCTGCACCCCTGCCTTTTTAACCTCTTCTGCCCTTTGTTGCCCACATACCCGCTAGGCTGTGTACTTGGGACAGAACCTGTGTTCCTAGCCTATCCTTAGGCCTGTTGATGGTCTGCATAGGCTCCGCCCTTTTCCTCTTCGTTATCATGGTCCCCTGTTGAGGGAGGGCCAGGGCTGACCAGCTGCCTCCCCCCACAGTGGTGCGCAGGCTGAACGAGTTGTACAAGGCCAGCGTGGTGTCCTGCCAGGGCCTGAGCCTGCGGCTACAACGCTTTTTCCTGGACAAGCAACGGCTCCTGGACCGCGTCCACAGCATCACTGCTGAGAAGCTCATCTTTAGCCATGCTGTGCAGATGGTACGGGGCAGGCAGGGGCCAGGGAGTATCTAGGATGGATGCCCACAGGTTTGTGGACTTTGGGGTATCCTGGCCCAGCTAGCTCCTGGAAGTCTCAAGAATAAAGCATGATGGCCCCAGTTTCCTCTATGATCCCACAGGACACTTGTGTTTGGCTTGGCTTTTGACCTCACTTGCGTGTCCTCTGTTGTACCTGCTGCACAGCTAGGGTGGGTCCCAGCCACATGTTTCCTGAGATTCAGTTTCCCCAAATATGATTCAGAGATCTGGTCTTCAGCTTCCAAAAGAGCCATCTCAGGCAACCCAATGCAGGCACGTGTAGGGAGCCAGGAGTAGGTGGGGTAGAACCTGTGGGGTAGCATCTCTTTTTTAGGAAAATTCATGCATACAGTGAAAACTAATTAAAACAAATTAGAGAGAGCTCCTCCCCACACGCCCCAGCTGCCCTCTCCCTCTGGCAGGAGTGACCTTAGGCTGTGTGATACTGATGCTGATGGTGCTATAGCTGTGCTGCTGGGCTAGGATTTGACTCTGAGTAGCACCTATAGCCTGCACAGGGGCTTCTGGGGAGGGGGGCACTGGTGCCCACATCAGATCTTGGCACTGTGCTGTCCCTAGAGCCAATTGAGGGTCCAGCCTCTGCCCTTGCCCTGCAGGTGCAGTCAGCTGCCCTGGATGAGATGTTCCAGCACCGTGAGGGCTGTGTGCCACGCTACCACAAGGCCCTGCTGCTTCTGGAGGGGCTGCAGCACATGCTCTCAGATCAGGCGGACATTGAGAATGTGGCCAAGTGTAAGTGCTAGGGCTGTAGAGGATTTAGCAGGTATGGGGTGGTAGGCAGGGCTCGGCCAGGGTGGGTACCCCAGTGTCAGCCTCATGCTCTCTGACTCCTTCCTATCCCCTCTTCCCCCACAGGCAAACTTTGCATTGAGCGGAGACTCTCGGCCCTGCTGACCGGCATCTGTGCCTGACCTCAGAGCCTGGCCTGCTGTGCCCAGGGGTTGGATGTCCTCTGCCAAGCCCTGGGGGTGGGTTAGCATGCTGGCCGGACTGAGCAGGACACTGAGTGGAGCCGCACAGCTGGGGGTCTCCACCTCCTGGGCTACCATTTGGGGCAGGGACTGCAGGACACTGGGCTAGCTGCCTGCCCTGCAGGTAGGAATCTCAGAACTTATCTCTCTAGCTGCCCAACTGCAGGCTCAGTGCCCAGAGGTGGCAGGTGTGTATGGGCATCCACCACTGGGAGCCCCCAGGGAGCCCTCAGGACAAGCAAGTCCTCCAGACAGCGTTGCTGACTTGAAGCCAAAGCAAGATTTTCCTCACGGCCAGACCTGCACAGTCACCCTGCCCTGGAAGAGGGGTGCAGCCTCCTGGCTTCCCACCTCCCCAGGAACCTCTCCGAGGCACCTACCCAGCTTTGTAAATCACCCGAGCACTTTATGCAGTTTGAGATTTGGGAACCTCGGCTTCCTCTCAGACTGCCAGGAGATGGTTCCTGGTGGCTGTCCCAAGGCATTTGTACATATCCACACACGTACTCAATGGCACCCTGAGCGTGTGTGGGCGTGTGCGGGGAATACTGGCATGTCCAACCCCTGTGTCTGGACCTTAGAAAGAAAGCAGGCTCCACCGTGCATGGGGCCACCACCCAGAGGGGAGACACGGTCCTCTTGTTCAGATGTTCTTTTAGGGACAGACAGCTGGAAGCACCATGCTTCTAAACCCAAAATAGACATCATAATTTTTCACACTTTATTCCTAAAATGTGTCTTACTTTTATGCAGCTCATTTTTTCTTTAAAGGAAAAAACTTGTGGGTGTTTCAGAAATAATTTTGGGAGAGTGGGGCCTGGGCTAGGCCAGGCTGGAGGCAGATGGCTCTGAGGCAGGTGATGAGACTGTTGTCTGGGTAGTTGCTGTGTGTGCCTGCATCTGGCTCTGTCTCCCAGTCCTGCCCTGTTTCAGCAGCTGGGTAGGCACGTGCAACAGCCACCCCACCTGAGCACGGGACAGGCAAGGACAAGCACACGTGCAGCAGGGAATCTCACCATGCAAGAGCCCCAGCTGCCGTTCCCGGTTGGTCTTGGTGTCTAAGCTGCACCTTGGCAAGTGGGCATAGTGTGGGTCTGGTTCCTCCCAGCCATGTCCCAGCAGCTGCCACGGGTCCAGAGAAGACTGCCCTCTGGGTTCTGGGGGGGCCTGCATCCACTTGAATGTATCCCCAAGAGGCCACAGTGCTGGGTCCTGTACTCGAGGGTGCAAAGGTCATAGCCACATACACAGACAAGATACACACACGTGTTTTTCTTTGCAATACTTGAAATATTGCCACTGTGCTTGGACTCAAAAGAAGAAAATTACCCGCTGACTTGTTTCTTTATCACCTTGATGACTTTATTTTTACCTTGCTGTGCGTAATATGTTGGTATTTATTATTTTGTGGCTGACTGGAATCCAGAACCACTGGGGAGCTGGTGCTGCTGGGAGCCTTACCTGCTTCCTAGTCCCTTGTTGCTTCTGTTGGCAGCCACGTGAGCCTGTCTGCGTGAGTCTGAGTGGGTTCTGGGTGCCCCAGCCTCACAAACGCTGCCTCCTGGTCGTATGTTCTCCACGAAAGACCCTTTGTCTATTTTAAAACAAATTTTGTGTGATCCCTGCCCTTTTGCGTTACGTTATGTAATACCAATTTAAGGAAATAAACTTTTGGAATTGTTGAGTTGTGTTAGGGATTGCTGTAGGTGGCTTGTCACTGTTTGCAGGTTCTATCATTTCCCTCCTTAGATGTGGAGGCTGTCACGTGCAAGGAGGGCCCATGTCCTCTGGCTGAGGAGCCCCACAGCCCTGTACAGGTGCCCACAGCACCTGGCACAGCTTTGAGAGCAAACTGCTAGGGCAAGAACTGGGGGCATTCAGGAACAGCAAGAAGGATTTGTTGCTGTATCCCAGTGCAAAGCAGTCCACACTGTACTGAGGACTCTCAGGGCTCTCAGGCGGGGTCACAAGGGTAGCCCAGTGCTCTAGGCCATCTGAGGACAAGTTGTTTTTTTTTTTTTTTGAGACAGTCTCACTTTGTTGCCCTCAGTAGAGTGCTGTGGCATTGTAGCTCAGCTCACAACAATTTCAAACTCTTGGGCTCAAGTGATTCTCTTACCTCAGCCTCCTGAATAGCTGGGACTACAGGTTCCCACTACAATACCCAGCTATTTTTAGAGACAAGGCCTTGCTCTGGCTCAGGCTGGTCTCGAACCTGTGAGCTCAGGCAATACACCAGCTTCAGCGTCCCAGATTGCTAGAAATACAGGTGTGAGCCACCATGTCTAGCCTCTGAGGACAACACCTTTCAACTCTTGGCGATACATCTGGGGGCCTTCAGGGTCATGGGGACTCCATGTTTAACTTGCAATGGGTCACCAGGCTGTTCACTATGGCCAGCATTGAGCCTTCTCACTGATGGCCAGTGAGTGCCCAGTGGCTGCACTCCAAGTCCTTTGGATTCCAGTGTCCTTTTGGGTGTGAGGTGGCATCTCGCCCTGTTGATTTGCATTTCTTTGATGGCTACAGGTAGGTACCAAGGGTCTCTCATGCACCTTTTGGCCATTTGTCTCAGGAGGAATCTCCAAACCTTTTGTCATTTTTTTTTTCTTTCTGAGACACATCTTACTCTGTACCTCAAGCCAGGCTGGAGTACAGTGGCCTCATCACAGTTCACTGTAGCCTCTTGAGTAGTTGACTATAGGTTGTAGGTGCTACCATGCCCAGTTAATTTTTCTTTTCTTTTTTCTTTTTTTTTTTTTTTTTTTTGAGAAAGAACCTCAAGCTGTCACACTGGGTAGAGTGTCGTGGCATCACAGCTCACAGCAACCCCCAACTCCTGGGCTCAAGCGAATCTCTTGCTTCTGCCTCCCAAGTAGCTGGGACTACAGGTGCCCACCACAACACCCAGCTATTTTTTGGTTGCAGCCATCGTTGTTTGGCAGGCCTGGGCTGGATTCGAACCCGCCAGCTCAGGTGTATGTGGCTGGCACCTTAGCCGCTTGAGCCACAGGCACCAAGCCCCAGTTAATTTTTCTATTTTTTGCTTTGCCCAAGCTGGTCTTGAACTTACGGTTTCAAACAATCCTCCCAGCTTTGTCTCTCCACGTGATGGGATTACAGGCCTGAGCCACTGAGCCTACTGTTTGCCCATTTCTAAATTGGGTTGTTTACCCAGGGTTTACTCTTTTAAATCTACATGTTTTTATTAGGTAAAAATAACTCATTTAAAAACTGCTAACCGTGATACTAGAAATGAAAGTTCATTGGGAATTTGGCATTTTAGAGGAATTGGAAAGTGGAGCTCTCAAAAGTCCAAGTCCCAGGAGGGACCACACAGTTTCCTCAGGAAGAGCAGTGCCTAGCACTTGGTCTGACCTGTTGATCACAGGGAAGTACGCAGATAGGCTTATAAAGACCATGGTATTTGGCGGGTGTTAAACTTCAGTTTTTGCAGCAATTTTAGGTTTACTAGGAAACTGAGCAGACAGCCCAGAAAAGTCTCATACCCATGTCATCTCTTGGAACTGATATATGTGATCCACTGGACATAGCTCTTTTTTTTTGTTGTTGCAGCCATCCTTGTTGTTTGGCAGGCCGGGCTGGATTCGAACCTGCCACCTTAGGTGTATGTGACTGGTGCCTTAGCCACTTGAGCCACAGGCGCCAAGCCTTTTTTTTTTTTTTTTTTGAGATAGCCTCAAGCTGTCCCCCTGGGTCCAGTGCTGTGGAATCACAGCTCACAGCAACCTCCAACTCCTGGGCTCAAATAAGTCTCCTGCTTCAGCCTCCCAAGTAGCTGGGACCATAGGCGCCCGCCACAATGCCTGGCTATTTTTCGGTTGCAGCTGTCTTTTTTTGGTGGGCCCAGGTTGGATTTGAACCCACCACCTTAGGTGTATGTGGCTGGCACCTTAGCCACTTGAGCCACAGGCGTGGAGCCTGGACATAGCTCTTGAAACAGGGCTGATATTGTCACCACCCAGAGTCCATGGGTGCATGTCAGGGCTGGCTTTTGGTGTCTGTCCTCTCAGTTTTTTTTTGTTTTTTTTTTGAGATAGAGTCTCAAGCTGTTGCCCTCAGTAGAGTATAGTGGCATCATAGCTCACAGCAACTTCAAACTCTTGGACTTAAGTGATTCTCTTGCCTCAGCCTCTCAAATAGTTGGGACTACAGGCACCCGCCACAACGTCCGGCTATTTTTTGGTTGTAGTTGTCATTGTTTAGCAGGCCTGGGCTGGATTCAAACCCACCAGCTCTGGTGTATGTGTTTGACATCCTAGCCATTGAGCTGCAAGTGCTGAGCCATGTTCTGTGGGCTTTGACAGACGTAAATGCCCCATGTGCACCACAGTCCTAAGTCCCCAAGCCCTGGAAGCCATGGTCTCTTTTTGTTTGTTCTTTTGAGACAGTCTCACTATGTCGCCCTCAACCTCGATAGACTGCTATGGTGTCACAGTCCCACAGCAACCGCAAACTCTTGAGCTTAAGCAATTATCTTGCCTCAGCCTCCCAAGTAGCTGGGACTACAAGCGCCTGCCACAACATCCAACTATTTTTTGGTTGCAGTTGTCATTTAGCAGGCCCAGGTCAGGCTAGAACCCACCAAATTGGTGTATGTGGCTGGTGCTCTACTTACTGAGCTACAGGTGCAGAGTCAGCCATGGTCTTTATTTTTTTTGGCCCGGGGCTGGGTTTGAACCTGCCACCTCCAGCATATGGTGCCGGCGCCCTACTCCTAGGCGCTGCCCAACCATGGTCTTCTCATTGTGTCTGCACTTCTCTTCCAGTGGGTCACAGACTTGGCTCCTACAGTGTGTGGTCTTTTGAAATTGGCTTTCGTTACTTTGTGACACATATTTAAGTCACTCAGTGTCTTGTCATGCCTTGATAGAGCCTTTTTCATGCTGATAATATTCTGCTTTCTGAGTGGACCACAGTATTTATCTATTCACCTGTGGAAGACAGCTTGGCACTTCCAGTTTGGGCAGTTAACAAACTGGTAAACTCCCGTGTGCAGAAGCCTGATGAGGCCAGGTGCAGTGGCTCCTGCCTGTAATCCTAGCACTCTGGGAGGCTGAGATGGGTGGATTGCTTTGAACTCATGAGCTTGAGACCAGTCTGAGCAAAAGCGAGGCCCTGTCTCTACTAAAAAATAGAAAAATAGGCAAGAGGATTGCTTGAACCCAAGAGTTAGAGGTTGCTGAGCTATGACACTGGCACTGTACCCAGGGTGACAGCTTGAGAAAAAAAAAAAGAAGCCTAATGGGAAAGGTGGGCCCAGAAGGCTGAGAAATGTGGTAGTAGCTGCCCACTTATTGGGATCTCACTTGGCACATGTGGGGGTGGGGCTTTCTGCCAGGAGGGCTGGGTTGCTGCACCTACACCACCAGCACTGTACCCCCAAGGTGCCTGGCTCACCCACCTATAGATGGGACAGGTGTGGTCAGTGGAGTAAGCTCTAAGTGGGCAGGAGCCCTGTCCTACCTGCCACCTGCATGTTGGCCCTCAGCGGGATGCAGCACAGCATGGCGACATGGGCCTGGCCCGGGTGTCAGTCCCTGTACTGTGACCCTCCTGGTCCCTGTGGCTGGGCAACTGGGTGGAGGCTGATCCTTTTCTAAGTAGCACACCCAGGGTCTCCATGGACCCTCACTGGCTCTGACTGGGTGGTTTACATCATCTGCCTACAGCAGAACATTCTGCCTGCTAAGGTGGTGCACTCATACAGTGGGCTCAGCCTCCGTCTAGAACTGGGAACACAGAGGTCAGGGAAGGGAGGTTTCCCTGCAAAGCAAACCTTCGAGAGAAGGGTGAGGGAACTCTGGGGTCTTCAGCTTAGTAGGTCTCTATGAAGGTGGCTGTTGCTTCTTGGCACTGTGCAAACTTCCCTTTTTCCTGGAGCCCAGCTTCCCTGAGGGACCTGCTTAGCACAGGTGATCTGCCCTTCCCATGAGGCTCTCCTGCCTCAGCCATTAGCCCCTCATAAGGCCTACAGCCCCACTGAGTGCTCCTTGAAATGGGGCATCTGGTCAGGTCCCACTGGGGCACCTGATCACTCAGAGGAAGTCCTCCCCATGGCCCATGGCCCTATAGCCTGGCCCTGGCCCTCAGGTCTCATCCACTGCTGTCTTCTGTCTATTTGCATGCAGATTCCAGGTGGGCATGTCCCCTAGCCTTACTGCCTCTCATCTACAGGAAGAGCTCTGAGGGGGGACAGGTGGGGCCCGCCGTGGTCTCTGCATTGCACATCCTAGGCCTGGATCACTCTTCTAGATACATGTGCAGCTCACTCACTTCTCAAGTTCAGGCTTGTGGTTGATCAAGTTGTGGCCCCCAGAGATGGGATTAAGGAATTTGAGTTGGGGAGATGAGACAGGATTATCTGGGTGGGCCCAACATCATCAAGGGGCAGGAATGTCAGTATAAAGGGAAATGTGTAAGTGGAAGCAGAGGGTGGGGTGGTGCACCAGGGGCCAAGGAGCAGGACATCTCTTGAAGCTGGGAAGGCAAGGAGACAGAGGAAATGATTGGACCCTCCCTAGGCTTCCAGGGAAGACTGCCCTGCAGACAACTTGATTATATGTAGCCCAGCGATGCCCATTTGGGTCTCCAGGAACAGAATGCATGTAGTTTTCCGCCAGGAAACTGGGATCATTTGTTATGGCAGCCCAGGAAATGAAAAGGCTGTCACTCAAATCTCAACTCCTTGGCGGGGCCCTTGGTGACCAGTAGCCTTCCAGACCTGGGCACAAGGATCCTGCTGGGTCCAACTCCAGCCTCCCATGGCTGTCCATCTTCCTATGAGCGAGTAGTCAGCAGGGCCAAGAGATCTGCAGTCCCCCTTCCAGACCATTGCCCTGGGACCCTTTTCTGGGCTTGAGTATGGTGGGGGAGGTGCTGCTTGTGGGAGAGGCAGGGGCAGAACTGAGGTGTGCAAGGGGGTGCTGGCCCTTGTCCCTGGGGTGCCTTCCAGTGTGGGAAGAGGGTGGGCCTTCAGTTGAGGGCCAGGTGTCTGCTCTTCCTGACTTCCACCTGTTCTGAAACTTGTAGGAACCTGAGAGAAACTTGCTTCCCCAGTCATATAAAATTTCTTGGGGTGGGATTCAACCAGCACTGCACATGTGTGCCTGAGCTTGTCATTTGTGAATGGCAACACTTTAGAACTTTACCCAGAGTTTCATGAGGATTGAAGAACTAAAATGTTACAGGTGGTTGGAATAGCACCTGGTACACAGGCATGTTTTACTACTACTGATTTACAACACAAGTCCAGGAAGGCACTTCTTTGCACACTGCAAGCCAGCCAGGGAGAAGGCTGATGCTGTGCGACTCTAGGCATGGGCCTTAACCTCTCTGTTTCTCGTTTTCTTCTTCAGAAACCAATTATAGTGGTGCTTGCAGCTTAGGGTGGGAGTAAGGAATGAATGAGTTCACATGTGTGTTGGCTGTTACTACCTGTTTTTATTTATCTATTTATTTACTTTATTTTATTTTAGAGACAGAGTCTCACTTTGTCACCTTTAGTAGAGTGCTGTGACGTCACAGCTCACAACAACCTCCAACCTGGGCGTAGGCGATTCTCTTGCCTCAGCCTCCGTAGTAGCTGGGACTACAGGCGCCCACCACAACGCCGGCTATTTTTTGTTGCAGTTTTACCAGGGCCAGGTTTGAACTTGCCACTCTCAGTATATGGGGCCAGCGCCCTACCCATTGAGCCACAGGCGCCACCCAACTACCTGTTTTTAATAAGAATTCACATATAGATGCATTCCCAACCTACAAATTTATTTTTTTGGTAGAAACAAGAGTTTCACTTTATCGCCCTCAGTAGAGGGCTGTGGCATCACACAGCTCACAGCAACCTCCAACTCCCGGGCTTAGGCAATTTTAAGCCTCCCGATGGGACCACAGGCGCCTGCCGCAGCACCCGGCTATTTTATTTTTATTTATATATATATATTTTGCAGTTTTTGGCCAGGGCTAGGTTTGAACCCACCACCTCCAGCATATAGGACTGGCGCCCTACCCTTTTGAGCCACACGCGCCACCCGCCCGGTTATTTTTTGTTGTAGTTGTCATTGTTGTTTAGCAGGCCCAGGTTGGGTTTGAACCTGCCAGTCCCGGTGTATGTGGCCGGCCCTGTAACCACTACCAGCGCTAAGCTGGGGTGGCGGGGAGTGGTGTTCGTTTTTCAAGATGCTGTAGGGTCCGGCGTCCGCAAACTCTGCTGGGGACAGAAACTGCCGGGGGTGGGGGTAGCCCCGCCCCACTCCCAACAGGCCCCGCCCCCTCCCTGAGCCGCGCTCCAATTCCTGCCCTTCTCCTCCCGAGATGTTTGTCCACATTCGGCTGCCGTCCATCATTCGCTCTACTTCCGCCTTCGCCCACGTGGTCCGGCTCCGACTCAGTCAGCGGCGCCGTGAGTGGGGCCAGGCGGGGGGCGCGCCCCTCTGGTCCCAACGTGGGTGGCCTGGGTCTCTGCAACTCCTGGGGAAAGCCCACGGATGGGACGGGAGGGAAGAGACTCGGGAGGTCAGAGGTCACCCTGGGGGTCAGGGGATGTCCAAGGTTAGCCTTGGGGGAGGGGCATCGGCACCCTGCGAGGTCAGAGCTCAGTAAGGGCGGGGCTGGGGCGTCAGGATCCCGGAAGGGTCAGAGTGAAGCAGAATCAGAATCCCGGCGAAGTCAGGGTCAACAGGAGCGGGGTCCAGACGTAGGGGCCCTGGGAGGTGAGGGATCAGAAGGAGCAGGGTTGGGACATTGTGGGTCCTAGTAAGTAGTGGTCATCGGGTTGGAGTCAGCGGGAGCTGAGTCGAGGCTTCAGGGTTACAGGAGGTCAGCAGACAGCGGGGGTAGGGCCTGGAAGGTCAGGGGTCAGCAGGGTCAGGACCACTGGGCCCACAGGTCAGGGGTCAGCAAGGTCAGGGCATCAGGGCCCATAGGTCAGGGGTCAGCAGGGGCGGGGCCGGGGCGGTGGGACCCGGGTGGTCAGGGTGCATGGGTGTGCCTGACCTGCGGGCCTTGGCTGGGGCGCTGAGGCGGTGGACAGCCTGCGGACCGTGGACCGCCCGCCTGCTCTGGTAATGCCCGTCGCATTTGACCCTACCAGGCCCTGCAAGTGCACACCCTGTGGGTGCTGCAGCCCCATGGCCTCGCCCTGCTCACAGCTCCGTCTTTCAGCTCGCACCCCATGGCTGGGAACGTGAAGACGCCCTCCACTGTAGGGTCTAGGCACCCGTCGGACAGGAAGGCCAGGGGTGGCTGGCCCGGTGGAACCCGGACCTGGGAGGACTCTGAGCACCAGGCGAAGAAGCTCAGGGGCAGCGAGGAGGAGCCTCGCCCCCGGCTGCCCAAGCGCAAGATTGTGCTGCTAGTGGCCTATGCCGGGAAGGGCTACCATGGCATGCAGGTGAGGGCCTGGCTCCCATGGTCAGTTGGGTCAAGTGAGGCCTGGCATGTGCGGCGCAGCCCAGTAATCCAGGAAACAACTGGAAGCAAGGGCCTTGCTTTTTCAGGGTTGGATTCATCAGCTTTGCCAGAGTCCTTGGATGAGATTGTATGCAGAACACAGGCGGGCGCTCAGGGGCCAAGCTCTTTAGTGAGGCATTGTGATCTGCCACAAAAAGGCAGATGTCTGTGCCTCAGTTTCCTTCCTCATCTTTAGGGTGGAGACACACCTACTTAGGAGGGTGTGAAGGTGAACAGGACCTACTAATGCTAAATGGACAGCACTTGGAATCTCAGAAGGGTCAGCTATGGTCAGAAGTCATATGTGTTAAGGTCACAGCTGGGTGTCAGCTCAGACAGGCAAGGTCTGTGGGTGGGCAGTCATGCCTTAGGGGTCTCTATGCAGAATAACAACATGATTCTTTTCTGGAAGGCAGGAGTTGTGGGCACCCTAGCCAATGCAGGTAGAGAGTTTTTTCATTTGTTCTAGTACTCAACTGCATTTTGGTTCCATGTTCTTTAAACTTCTCTAACTTTTGGCACTAAGCAGTTCTCAGCCTCCCCAGGTGCTGTGATTATAGACATAAGCCACAGCACCTGGCCTATATCCAATTTTATTTTATTTTTGAGACAGAGTCTTCTTGTGTTGCCCTAGGGTTGAATGCTGTGGCATCATAGCTCATAGCAACCTCAAACTCCTGGGCTCAAGTGATCCTCATGCCTTAGCTTCCTGAGTAGCTGTGACTACAGGTGCCCACCATGATTCCTGGCTAGTTTTTTTCTTTTTTTTTGAGACAGAGTCTCATTTTCTGTTTTTTTAGAAAAAACAGAAAATCTCCCTCAGTAGAGTGCCATGGCATCACAGCTCGCTTGGGCCTAGGCGATTCTCTTGCCTCAGACTCCTGAGTAGCTGGGACTACAGGCACCTGCCATAATGCTCAGCTGTTTTTGTTTTTTTTTTTAACTGGTTTGGCCGGGGCCAGGTTTAAACCCACCACCCTCGGTATATGGGGCCTGCGCCCTACTCACTGAGCCACAGGTGCTGCCCATGGCTAGTTTTTTTATTTTTAGTAGATCTGGGGGGGTCTCACTTTTGCTCAGGCTGGTGTTGAATTTCTGAGCTCAAGGGATCCTCCCGCTTCAGCCTCCCAGAGTGCTAGGATTACAAGTGTGAGCCACCATGCCTGGCCTTCAATTTTTTTTTATTTTATTTATTTATTTTTATTATTTTTTGGAGACAGAGTCTCACTTTGTCGTCCTTGGCAGAGTGCTGTGGCATCATAGCTCACAACAACCTCAAACTCTTGGGCTCAAGTGAGGCTTGTGCCTCAGCCTCCTGAGTAGCTGGGACTACGGTGCCTACCACAACACCCAGCTATTTTTAGAGATGAGGTCTCTCTGGCTCAGGCTGGCCTTGAACCTGTGAGTTCAGGCAATCCGCCTGCCTTGGCCTCCCTCGGCCTCCCAGAGTGCTAGGATTACAGGCATGAACCACTGTGTCCAGCCTTTTATTTTATTTTATTTTTTTGAGAGTCTCACTTTGTCACCATCGGTAGAGTGCATCTTAGCTCACGGCAATCTCAAAGTCTTGAGTTTAAGTGATTCTCTAGTCTCAGTTTCCGAGTAACTGAGACTACAGGCACCCACCACAACCCTCAACTATTTTTAGAGATGAAGATCTCACTCTGCCTCAGGCTAGTCTTGAACTAGTAAGCTCAGGCAGTTCACCTGCCTTAGCTTCCCAGAGTGCAGGGATTACAAGTGTGAGCCACTATGCCTGGCCTGCTCCAGTTTTATTTTGATTTTTTAAAATTTATTTTGATTTTTGGTTTTTTTTGCAGTTTTTGGCTGGGGCTGGGTTTGAACCCGCCACCTCTAGCATATTGGGCTGGCGCCCTACTCCTTTGAGCCACAGGTGCCGCCCTATTTTTATTTTTTTATTTTTCTTTTGAGACAGAGCCTCAAACTTTCGCCCTGGGTAGAGTGCTGTGGCGTCATAGCTCATAGCAACCTCCAACTCAGGCTCAAGAGATCCTCTTGCCTCAGTTTTTCCACTTTTTTTTGGAGACAGAGTCTCAAACTGTCACCCTGGGTAGAGTACTGTGGTATCACAGCTCACAGCAATCTCCAGCTCTTAGGCTTAAGTGATTCTCTTGCCTCAGCCTCCTATGTAGCTGGGACTACAGATGCCGCCACAACACCTGGCTATTTTTCTGTTGCAGTTGTCATTGTTGCTTTAGCTGGCCCGGGCCACATTTGAACCTGCCAACCTCGGTGTATGTGGCTGGCACCCTACTCACTGTTCTATAGGTGCCACCAGTTTTTCTACTTTTAGTAGAGACAGCATCTCGCTTTTTTGCTCAGACTAGTCTTGAACCCGTGAGCTCAGGCTATTCACCTGCCTTGCCGTCCCAGAGTACTAGGATTACGGGCGTGAGCCACTGCGTCTGGCCCTCCAATTTTATTTTTAAAAAGCATAAGTTACACTCATGAAACTGATTTCGTGACAGCTGGTAAATGGTGACAGAGGCTGGAAGATTTGGCTGTAGTCTGATTTAGTCTCAAGTATTAGTAGGAAGAGACAGACCATGTTTTGTGTTCCTTGTGGGGGATTTAAATTATTTTTTGAGAGATTTTGATTATGTAAGGTTTTTGTTTGAAGCACTGTCTGGAGAACTTTGCTTATGTCATCATATTATGGTTGCCTTGGTTTCCCCATTAGGAAATTGGGATATACAGAGTGACAGTACTCACAAGGCTGAATGAAGGATTGTTATTCTTATTTGTTAATAATTCATTTGCAGGCTTGGCGCCTGTGGCTCAAGTGGTTAAGGTGCCAGCCACATACACCTAAGGTGGAAGGTTCGAATCCAGCACGGGCCCACCCAAACAACAATGACAGCTGCAACCAAAAAAACAGCCAGGTGTTGTGGCGGGCCGGGCCCACCAAAACAACAATGATGGCTGCAACCAAAAAATAGCCAGGTGTTGTGGCAGGCGCCTGTGGTCCTAGCTACAGGATTTGGAGGTTGCTGTGAGCTGTGATGCTACAGCACTCTACCCAGGGGGATAGCTTGAGGCTCTGTCTCAAAAAAAAAAAAA